AGGACAGGGCTCGGGACAGGGCACCAAACAACTGAACTTGACTCCAATAAGGATCGCACAAGCGAGCAGCAGTGACGTCGCCTTAACCTCAATCTACCTGTGCACTAACTCTCAAAACATAAACAATTATCAAAATATGGCTTGCAATGGATTGATATCGAGTTAACTAGAAGATTAAAAGTGTTTTTCAACCGATTCGAGTATGAATATGGCATTAAATCTGTTTTTGAAAGTTGGTGCACAGGTAAAAAGTGAGGTTACGCGACGCCACTGGCGAGCAGTAAAGTGACCTGAGGCATAGCGGGTCACGAAACTCGTCGGCAATTTTGAAAATAAAGCCCAATTGTCGATTAGCTCTAGAGATGATGTCATTGTAGTGGATTCTGGAAGTGTGTCTGCAGTCCAAGGTAACGCCGAGATCCTTTATGTGCTCTACACGAGCAAGAAAGCGTCCGTATAGAACATAGTCAAACATGATTGGTTTGGTTTTTCGGTGATATGAAATAATGTTACATTTTTCTATGCTTCAATCAAATCAAATCAGATTGACCCGCCCACGGTTGCTGCTCTGTTATTACCAGATCAGCTGCAATTACACAGAGAACCAACAGATGATGTTTGGGACTAACATTCATCCTCAATGTGTAAGAACTGGAGATCTAATATTTAGCAATACCAGCGCCGGCCGTGTCCGAATGCAGGTCAACTAGGGAATGGGAAGGAATGTGTTGACGTGGTACTCGCTGTGAAGGAAACCGAGAAATCCTCTGCGCTTCCACGAGAAATCACTGGGATGTTGGATGTGGGGAAAGGTTGCACACGCACACGCAGGGATCGTTTTTTGGTAGAGCGATTAATAATACACAAACACACACACACACACACACGCGCGCGCACTCATCCAATTTATATTTTTAGATCAGGACCCACACTGTGGTAAGTGATGCGATCGGTGTTAAAGAAGAATTTGTTTTCATTAAAATCTAGTGGGTATAGAAATAAGGCAAAGTGAAAAATTGCAAGGAAGGGGACGGGCCTGGGATTGAACTCCCGACCTTCTGCTCAGTAAGCAGAAACGGTAACCACTGAGCTACCGAGCCTCGTCTTTACATTTTTCTATGCTTAGACTCATCAAATTTCTTGAGCACCAGTCAGCAGAAATACCTAACATATTCTGGAGATCCCAGCAGTCCGAGCAAGGCGACGTCGTTTAAAAAGATCAAAAATAGTAGCGGTCCTAGGTTACTGCCTTGCGGGACTCCCGAGTTGTTTGAGAAAACATCCGACTCCGACGCGCCAATCTTGACATGTGCATAGCGATTCACCAAGTAAGATCTGAACCAATCCACAGCAGTTGACGAGATGCCAAGTATCTCCAGCTTGGCCAGCAAGATATTATGGTCCACCGTGTCAAATGCAGCTTTTAGATCCATATACGCAGCATCGACTTGCCATCCTAAATCCATGCATCGCAGACAGTTAGAAGTGAACTGCACCAGGTTCGTGGACACGGAGCGCTTCGGGTAGAAACCGTGTTGTTCTATATTGATATAATTTTTGCAGCGTGCGAACAGAGCACCATTTATGATAATCTCGAATAGTTTTGAGCAGGCACACAGGGAGGTGATTCCACGATAATTTATGACATTCCGTTTATCTCCTTTTTTGTGCACTGGGAACAGATAAGAAAGTTTCCAGCGGCAGGGGAACTCACATTACTGTGCCGAAAGATTGAATAGCCTCGCAAGTGTAAGCGTGGGTTAGACCATGCAGGCTTTAGCGGAGGTCGTCGAGCTGGGACAATGCGGAAAATAGCATCTTTCAGTGTAGCACTGAAAAAATCCACTGCATCATTCACGCTAGCGGCAGTTTCGATAAATTGCCAATCAATTTCCGCAAGCGCATTGTTCAATGCAACATAATCGGCCCGGCGAAAGTCCAAAGAGTAGCTCTCAGATGACGGCGTAAAAAGATTCGCGTAGGTAAACTAAATGACACGACGAGAGCGGGATGATCGGCATCTAGATCAATCAGTGGCTAGACCGGCAAGGAAACAGAAGTGCCCGGCAGTGCGGAATCATTGCCAGGACAAGATCTAGCAAACGTCCATTTCGGTTCGGAAAAGTATTCACTTGTATGAACCCGTAAAAGTTAAAACCGTCCAAAAGAGCACAGCAAGCAACGGGCATATGCGAAAGCAGTGGATCAATTAATGGTGTGCCACTGTCTGTAAAGCGCCACTGCAGACCAGCTTGATTGTAGTCACCAAATACGAAAGCGGAAGAGCAGGGACTTAATTGTGACGAAATTGAGCCTAACGATTCCACATGCTCACGGATGACCGTGCAGTCGTTTTTGCGGTCGGGATGCAGGTAGATTGCGCCTACACTAAGCTTGCTTCTACGACAATCCACAGCTGTTCCAGATGACTGGAAATGGGTGACGTACTTACGTAGCTGGCTAGTCTAGTAGATACTGCAATCAGGACTCCGCCACCGCGCAATTTTTGACTGTTTAGGGCAGACCGGTCAGTTCTGAAGACGGAATAGAGTGACCCGAAAAGTTGCGATGAGTAAATTCGGTCGTCCAGCCACGTTTCCGTCAGCACAATCAAAGCATATCCGGCCTCCGCAACAGCCAGGAAAAACGAGTCGATTTTAGTCCTCAGCCCACGCACGTTTTGATAGTAGATCCGAACCATTCGAAGAGCAATCACGGGAACTAGAAATCGAAAAGACATCAGGTACCGAAAGCTCGGAATCGCTAACATACTTGCCTGCGGTTGCAGGCCGGAAGCCGCCGATACCATCACCGACCACAGGACCGGGACGATGACGATGGCGGATGTCTGCAACAAGCGCGACTGGGTCGGGAGGTTCGGAAGCTTCCTCAGTGCCTGTTTTAGGGTGTCCCGGATCCGAGGAAGAGCAGGTGGCAGCATAAACCTGCTGGTAGTTGGCAGGACGGATGCATGGACATGATGTGGCTAGTGTCGAGGTCGCAGAACCGGAAACACAGCTAGAAGTTGAAGCAGTATCAGGCAAAGGAGAAGCTGAATCGTCAATATACTTGCCAGTAAAGGGTGTCCACGATGAAATTGCCACACTATGAAATTGCTCTAACTTTTTAACCGTTGGGTAGAATTTAATGAAAATTTGGGTGGATTTAGTTCATAGTGCATTATTTACATCCTGCAAGTTAAAACTCGCGGAAATGGAGTCGAAAGAACAGTTCGTGCGTGATAAAATCTTGCGCATTCATCACGAGAACAAGGATCTCTCGCATCGTTCCATCGGTAAAACGTTGGGAATCGCGAATTCCACGATGTCGCGAGTGATTAAGCGGTTCGAGGAACGGTTGACCACCGATCGGAAGCCCACAAGTGAAGGAAAAAGTATTCCGTACAACACCAAAAATCACAACCGCGTAGTTGGGGCCTTCAACCGAAATCCGAACGCCTCCGTTAGGGATGTGGCTAAGAAGCTGCACCTAAGCCGAAGTTTTGTCCAGAAGGCCAAAACTAAGGCTGGGCTTCGAACGTTCAAGGTACAAAAGGCCCCTAATCGCGACGAGAAGCAGAACAAGTCCGCCAAAACCCGTGCCGTGGTTTACATGCAAAAAATGGTTGATTCACAGGTTGTGCAGAATCTTATGGCCGGGGTTAAGGCCAAGGTGCGGGCATTTGCGTATGGACTGTAAATAAAATACGAGTAAAATGGTAAAATGAAGTTTAATAGTGCTATCCACGATGCGTCTCGCTGGTGATGGTGGTGGTCCAGAAGCAGAAGAGGTAGCAGCATTAGTCATGGAAATCTTGGATACATCATGAAGCGTTGCACTGGAACACGGAAACTGATCAGGCAAATGACTGTAACTAATGTATGCATACTTGCCTGAAGACGATGCTTGGGAGACCCCACCACCGAACTCGACCGCAGGGCCAGAACGACTCTGATGGCAGGAAATAGAACGACTTTGATGGCGGGAAACAGCTAGCGCGACTGGATCGAGTGGTTCGAGATTTCCCATAATGCGACAGGCAGTGCGTTCTGGTCTACAGCGCTCCAATTCACAACGCAAAATCCAATTCTGAATCAGCAGACTGGGTCTAGTCCGGAAATGGGAGTTGAGAACTCGGAAGGTCCCGGAATAGGAGAGATCGTGATTGTAGGTGTGTTAAAACGAGACAACCACATGTTTTTTGAACCGTCTTCAAATTCACTGATGTCGGATCCTATTTTGACTAGCGGCACAACCTTAATCGGATCTTCACACTGTACACAACCTTTGACTGGCTTCTCGATTGATTCAGATTTCACGCTAGGATGAATACGAGAAAGGTACAGCCAAAACAGCTCGGTGGGTTCAGGGACAGTAAGGACCTCGGTAAAGGCATTGTCGCCTGTTACTGCTTAAGAACCACCAACAAGTGGTTTGCTATTTTGAATCTTTAGAGGTCAGTGTGTCATGACTTGATCAACAATTTACTGTTTATTGTCGAATTTTCATCCCTGCCGTTATGTACAACATTCAATACTTGTCCGATTATCCTAAAATTTGAGGCTAAAATCTATCTAAGAATCTGAAGAAAATAAAAATAATAATTCCTAAAATAATCATTTTTGACCGGGTTCGCCCCACTGTGCAGCGACCAAAAGTGACGCTCTACTCGACTTACATAATAGGGCCTTATCGTTGTGTTTGAAGCTGCTATAGAATTATAGAAATAATTATTTTTCTGGTCAAAATTATGGAATTTAACTCGAGTTTCGTTAGGGTGACCATCTTACCCCACTTTCCCCTACGTCGTTTTGTTTTAAGCCCATCCCAAGAAGAGCTAAATATCAACAAATATGTTGGTAATTCAGCGAAGTTGTCCAGCCCCCAAGTTGAACCCGAAAATCCGGTTCGAAGACAAGATAATGCAAAAGCCAACTTATTGCCGATTGTGTGCGCTTATCAGGATTGTTAATATTTCGGACACTATGAGATATGATGTCTTTATTGCTGTAATCACGTTTATTTGCTTCATGTAATCTTGCTTTAAGAGCCATGTGGGTTTTGTATGGTTGTTGGCTGCTGAAAATTGTTCTCACAGTTACGATGAATAGTAGAACGCTATAACATGTAGACCCGGATTGTTGCCACAGTTCCAGCCGTAGGTCGAGGAATGATTCAATGAATAAATATCAAAGTAAACAACTTACAACTAGGCTTCTTCTCTGGTATCAATAGATTAACAATTTATGGCACATTTGTTCTTGTCTCTAAAACATACAAAAATAAATAACTTAAGAAACATAAATGTATCAGCTGGATCTGATGTTTGGAACGACAAATTTGGTATTCGATTACTTAAATGAGATCATTGCGTTTTTCAGCAAACAAAAAGTTATTTATGTTATATAAATAAATACATAAAATCAGGTCAACGAATTCTTCAAAAAACACTTTCTCTGTAAGCTCCGCTTCTACATTTGTCTTAACCACCTATCTACGGTTCAATATTGATATCAAATATTTGATTTGTTCTATTTTGTTTTGGTACTACTTTGGTTCCACTGCACATAAGACCACTGTTTAGCTTATGGAATTTGCTGTTTTTAGGTTATTTGTTTTGCTCTTAGGATTAGCTAAACAAAGACAAAATTGTTGAAACAATTCTAACAAACTCAAAACATTTTCTATAAATGATGTTTTGCTTAACCTAAACAGTCGAGGTTACGGTTACTGCTAGAATATCTTGATCGCTCAGCTTCTTGATGGGGTAATCTACCTCATCCCTGCCAGCGTTGTCCACTTTCGAATCGCTTTGCACCCGTGCGATCGGAATGACGGTTGCTTGCGTGGGCGTCCTTGGCAATGTGCCGCCCATAATTTGCAGGTCGTTATCCACACTCGAAAACCGAAAAGCGATATCTTTCGATTGCTTCTTGTCGACGATGTTGTTGATTTCCAAATTTAGGTTAACGCTGTTCTTGTTCATGTCCAAGTAGGAAACGGGTCGGGGCTGTTTGCTGGGGGAATCATACTCTCCTCCGTCCGGGAGGGTGCTGAAGGATGTTTCGTCCATGAATTTGGAAAACAGATTCGGATGGCTGGATGCGTTTATGTAGATCGTCGGAGTCGAGGACGGTGGGTAGATGCCGTTGTGGATTTTCTTCGGTCGCAATCGAACGTCGTTTTCGTAGCGCAGCTTCTGCTCGATAGTTGCCGTCTCGATAAGAGGACGGGGTGTGTCGTAGGTTTGCAGTATGAGGGACTTTTTGTCCGTGATCGGCGACAGGTAGCGGATGCTCTCGAGGGTACTGCTGTCGGTGGCCGGTTCGTACTGCGGCGTTGTCCAGAGGCTTTCGAGTCGGGCCAATTCTTCCTGGACGAACGATACCTTGGCACAGTCGGTTTCTGCAAATGGAGGAGCGTGTGTTATGTTCAGTGTTTGTAGCCTAGAAAAGATCTGGATTCCAGGAACTTACCGTCATTATTTTCACAGTAAACCGGATTGGAAATTGAATTCTGCTCCATATCAACGTACTTGGCGGTGCGACCCAACAGTCGTTCAAATTGGCCAGCCAAGTGTTTGAACGAGGGACGTAGCTTCGGATCATCCGCCCAACAGGAGCGAACTATGCTGTATCTGAAATGGTAGAAAATAATAAGCTCGATTATTTGTTTGATTAGGGGTCGCAGATCCTTCTACTGACATTTCCTCGGAGCAATTTTTCGGACACTCCATCCGGTAACCCTGCTTCAGAAGGGTGTACAAATTTTGCGGTGGGATGCCAGGGTACGGAGAGGCGCCCAGGGTGATCAATTCCCAACACACGACACCGAAAGCCCACACGTCGCTCTTGGTTGTGTAGATATGATCCGCCAGCGATTCCGGTGCCATCCACTTGACCGGCACTCGGTCCTTGCTCTTCTTCAGATAGGCATCGTCCTCGTACACATCTCGCGTCAGCCCAAAGTCGGATATTTTGCACACTTTTCCCTCGGCCAGCAGCACATTCCGGGCAGCCAGATCCCGGTGGACCAGTTTGATCTCGGTGAGGTAGGCCATTCCTTTGCTAATTTGCCAAGCAAACGACAGGATATCTTTGACCGCGATGGGTTCGATGGCGTTTTCGTAATCGGTTGCATTCATCACTTCCAGCTTGCGACTCAAGCGGAGGTAGTTTCTGTTGGAAAATAGTTATAATGTGTTCAGTACGAAGAATCTATCTCCGAATAATAATAGGAACCTACTTTAGCGATCCATACTGGCAGTATTCGATGATCAACATGGGTGAGTCTCCCTTGGTGCAGGCTCCAAGCAACCGGATAACGTTGGGATGGGTTACTTCCTGCAGCAGTTGGTATTCGGAGAGCAGAGCCAGCAGCTCTACTGAATTGGCGCCGGTTTTCAGCATCTTCACGGCCACGGTGGTAATTCCCGGTTTGTCCGGCAGATCGGTGGCGTAGGCCTTCAACACTTTCCCAAACTCACCCTCGCCGAGCGTTATGTCCAGGATGAGATTGGAGCGCGGGAATTCCCACTTGGAGTCGAACTAGAAATTATGAAATAGTTTGAAAGTCTTTGGTAAGAACTGCTACAGATAATGGAGATATCACTAGTGTACAGCATATTTGAACAGGGTCTTCAAACAGTAAATATCCGAGAATTCTTTTGCAGCCCAGGCATTTAGAAGTTATATATCCTACATGATCTTTGAAAGTAAGATTCGAATCTAAGAGAACACCCAATTCCTTAACAGTAGATTCTCTCTTTAGAGATTTTCCGGCAATGGTGTAATCAAATGGTATTCAAACTTATGCGATTAGTTGCGCATCATTTGGAAAAAAAAGGTTAAGCTCTTTCTGAAGGAATGTGCATCGTCTTGACAGGTTATTACATAATGGAGTTTGAAGTCATCGGCATACGAGAGCTTAAGGTTGACGTCATTCCGGTACATCAAGAATAAGAAAGGTCTAATATAACTGCCCTGTGGAACACCAGATGTGACATGGGATGGTTCTGATATAGTATTAGACCGACATTGAACGACCAACCAGATAAGAGTTAGCCAATCTAGCAACGAACCAGATAAATCAAGACGTTCAAGCTTTCATGATTGATTTGATCGACAGCAGCTGAATAATCAGTATAGATTGCATCGACCTGCTTGTGAGCTTTTATAGTCTTGATGATAAAGAACGTGTATGGAACCAGATTGGTACAGGTGGATCTCTTTGGCATGAACCCATGTTGAGTCGTGGAAATGTAGTTGAGACAATGATGCGTGAGGAAGTCGAGGACAATCAGCTCAAATAGTTTAGACGTAGCACATAATGCTGCGATTCCTTTGTAGTTTAAAACCTCTCGTTTATCGCCCTTTTTGTGCACGGGAAAAACGAATGATATCTTCCATGTTTTAGGAAAAAATCCGGATAAGAGCGAACGGTTGAAAATAGTAGCTAGAAGTTGCGAGATAGCAGAACTACACTTCTTCAAGACCAGGTTGCAAGTACTCATTTCAGCTGAAACAATGTTTTTTTTTTAATTATGAAATAATCAGATGCTATGATCATATTTGGTATTGGTAAGATATAAGAAGTGGTTGCAAAGAATGGTTTACACACATTATACCTGTTCATTTCGTTCAATATGATAGATCAGTGGTTCTCAACCTTTTCAGCTCCGCGACACCCTTTGTGAAAGTACCTTGTATAAATTACGCTGAGATGAATAAAAACTATTCATTCGATTTGTTAGTTAAAAATTAACAATGAAATCATTTTTCCCTTGAACTTCCCAGAATATTTTGATTTCGTCCTTCGTTTAAATGAGTTAGCAGCTAGCAAACAAGCTCACCAGCATAATGTAAACAGGGCATCAGCGTCTACCAGCATTAGATTTCAGGAGCAACTGAAATTCGTGCTAGTTGGCTAGTACACTAGCGCTAGCAAATTCGAACATATGTAAACACCCCATCAATTCAAAAGCACGGTTGAGAACATTACCTTTGGACAACCAACGCACAACAGTGTAGAAAAGAAGAACCACGTGTTTTTTTCCTTGTTTTGTTTTCCGTCGATCTTGTTTTCCGTGCTGAGCACTAATGCTACCGACGCCAGGAAGGCAGCTCCCACACCTGGACCCTACCTTTCGACCCATCAAACTCATGAACCATGGACCAACGGCTTTACTTATGTATATGGTAATCATCCAAGTTCAACTGAAATAAAGATCATTTAAAGAAAAAAGTAAAGCTTTAATTCCCTTCCGAAGGAAGGCGTGATCAGAGATGTTATGCCTCAGAACATCCCGGCGGCGCCGACTGGGATTGAACCCAGGCCTGCTGAGGTGAGAGGTAATCACGCTTACCACTACACCACCGGCACCGCTGACCACGTGATCTGAATTAATTTTTTTGTGGAGTTCTTTGAATAAACGAGTGTTCAGAGCTCCAGATTTGACATAGCTAACAATTTTGATGACAGAATCAAGTTTTTTTTTAACTCTTTATTTGTTTCAAATTCAAAATAAATTACATTTCATTTTAACCTAGGTGCTCCAGTTACTACAGAAACTTACCAGCCTTAATTGTTATGATATATATCTAAGTATTTTTACATTGTTCCTGTCTTGGCAATTCAGTATTTTAAACAGGTTTTTAAACCTGCATGTCACTATAACAATTGATATCTTAAAACTAAAAACTAAAACTAGATCTCATCTAAGTATAAAGGGAATTAATCGTTGCAATTGAGGATTGCAACGATTTTTGCCTGAAATTATTAATTATTTTGTTGGACATTTGTTCTAAAGTCTCAACATTCGAAATTCTATGTACTTCGGTAGTACTGTACCAGGGAGGCAACTTCAAAATCATTTTCAGAACTTTGTTCTGAATCCTTTGAAGTGCTTTTTTCCTGGTAGTGCAACAACAAGATCATATTGGCACAGCGTAAAGCATGGCCGGTCTAAAAACTTGTTTAAATATTAGAAGTTTATTCGTCAGGCATAGTTTGGATTTCCTGTTTATAAGAGGATACAAACATTTCATATATTTGTTACATTTGGCTTGAATGCCCTCAATGTGATCTTTAAAAGTTAATTTTTGGTCAAGTATTAATCCAAGATATTTCACTTGGTTTGACCAGGAAATTGGAACTCCGTTCATAGTGATTATGTGACTACTACTAGGTTTCAAAAAGGAAGCTCTAGGCTTATGTGGAAATATTATAAGTTGAGTTTTGGAAGCGTTGGGAGAAATCTTCCATTTTTGTAAATAAGAAGAGAAAATATCTAAACTTTTCTGCAGTCTGCTGCAAATAACACGAAGACTTCTTCCTTTAGCGGAAATGCCTGTGTCATCGGCGAACAAAGATTTGTGGCAACCCTGAGGCAAATCAGGGAGGTCCGAAGTGAAAATGTTATACAATATAGACCCACGAATGCTACCCTGAGGAACTCCTGCTCTAACAGGTAGTCGATTAGATTTGGAATTTTGATAATTTACCTGCAGAGTTCTGTCAGTTAAATAATTTTGAACTAATTTCATAATATAAAGTGGAAACTTTTTCAATTTAGCAATCAAACCTTCATGCCAAACACTGTCGAATGCTTTTTCTATGTCTAGAAGAGCAACTCCAGTTGAGTGGCCTTCAGATTTGTTTGAACGAATTAAATTGGTAACTCTTAAGAGTTGATGAGTAGTTGAATGCCCATGGCGAAATCCAAACTGCTCATCTGCAAAAATTGAGTTCGTTTTGATGTGAAGCATCATTCTATTTAAAATTATCTTTTCAAAAAGTTTACTTATTGAAGAAAGCAAACTTATTGGACGGTAGCTAGAAGCTTCAGCTGGATTTTTATCCGGCTTCAAAATTGGAACAACTTTTTCATTTTTCCATTTATCAGGAAAGTATGCCCAATGGAAACATCTGTTAAATAATTTTACCAAGAAAGACAAGGTGCTCTCTGGGAGTTTTTTGATGAGGATATAGAAAATTCCATCATCACCTGGAGCTTTCATATTTTGAAACTTTTTAGTTATAGACCTTCAGAAAATCCCGAGCAACCTGATTCTCAATACCACCTTCTTTAAGCGCTGGAATAGGCTTTTGAGGTTTTTTCAATATTTTTGTGAGTTTCCAAAAGGGTTTGGAGCTCGGGTCTAATTTAGAAACATTATTTTCAAAAGTTTTGTTCTTCAGGGCAGAGAATCGTTTTATAATTTGTTTTTGCAAATCCCGCCAGATAACTTTCATGGAAGGATCACGTGTTCTTTGATATTGTCTCCTACGGACATTTTTAAGACGGATCAAGAGCTGAAGATCGTCGTCTATTATAATTGAATCAAATTTAACCTCGCATTTTGGTACTGAGACAGCTCTTGCTGCAACTATAGAAGTAGTCAGAGATTCAAGAGCATAATTAATTTCATCTTTGGTTTGCAAAGGAATGTTTGGATCGAAATTATATTCCATAAATGTTCGATACTGCTCCCAATCAGCTCTATGGAAATTGAAAATAGAGCTGTTGGGATTACAAATTATTTCTTGGGATATTTCAAAAGTTACTGGAAGGTGATCAGAACTGAAGTCAGCATGGGTAACCAATTGGCTACAAAATTGACATGAATTAGTTAAGACCAAATCAATAGTTGAGGGATTTCTTGCAGAAGAAAAGCATGTTGGACGGTTTGGATATTGAATAGTGTAATAACCTGCAGAACAATCATCAAACAGAATATTACCATTGGAATTGCTTTGAGCATTATTCCATGAGCGGTGTTTTGCATTAAAATCACCAATAATGAAGAATTTAGATCTATGACGCGTAAGTTTCTGGAGGTTTCAAATGAAGAAAAAATTTTATGTTTGATTCGTCTATGAACAATGATGGCAACGCCACTACAGGGTCCATCAAAACGATCATTTCTATAAATTAAATAATTTGAGTCCTTCTTAACCTTATGGCCAGGTTTAAGGAACGTTTCAGTTATAACGGCAATATGCACGTTTTGAACTCTCAAAAAGTTAAATAGCTCGTCTTCATTATCTTTAAGAGATCGAGCATTCCAATTTAAAATATTTAAAGCTTTAAAAGCCATTACTGAATTTTAAAGTCATGACAATATTATTTGCAAATTTTACTCCAGTTTGAATAGCATCAAACATGGAGTTAGATTTAAGCATATCAGAAATCATGTCAATTAATGAATTCTGTAAAAATTCCATTTTAGGGGCAGTTTGCTTCCTAAGTCAAAATTGTCAAAATTTCCGTTAGAACGTTGGTTAGTATTTTGATTTCTAGCTCCATTAACTCGGTGAACTTTGTTAGCAGCGAGGGGAGTAGGTACAGATGAAAGATTTGAAGCAGGGGTGATATTTGTACCTACGGGTACGAATGTAGAATTTGTTCCTCACTGACCGTTGTTAACAGTAGAGGAATTTGTACCTGTTCGGAAGCGTGGAGCGTTTCCTACCTGACGGTTAGAACGAGATTGTAGGATCGCTTTGCGAGTCTTACATTCCCAAAAATTGGATTTGTGGTTTTCAC